GATGTGGGTGTTTTCCCTTTCCAGTCGGGCTGATGTTTTTTCCCTCTTAATATTTGACCTATTTGGATCAGTTTGCAGACTGTCGCCTTTACTATCCTCTATATAATAAAATATACCTTCGGTCCATTTGTTTGGAGTGGAAAGTGTCTTTTACGTCTCCGATCGAATCCCCGAACCTCTCATAACACTTGCCCAGGAATTGGCAGATCTTCTCTACAGCGCTTCTTGTGTCCTAGAAGAAGAAAAAATAAGAGAGAGGATATGAAAGAGAAAGAACACAAAAGGGAGGTGAGAAGGAGAAAACAACAATGTGAGGAGAAGGAGGGAGAGAGAAAGAGAGGAACAATGTGAGAAGCAAGAAGCGATTGATTGGTTTTGACTAGGAGGAAGAAACGGAAAAGCTAAAGAGCAAGGAGCACAAAGGATACAAAGATGGAGTATCCACTTGGATTTCCTAGTATAGTTTAGTTCAGGATGCCTTAATGGTAAATATAGGGACTGAGTTCTCTAAAGAGACTTTTATAGAGTCTTCTAGACAATTATGATCAGGATTAAGCAAGGAGAGTTTCAGGGAGAACTTGACAAAGATCGAAGGGATTGATTTCAAATCCTGGCTGTGCCGTCAATTAAGACCATTTCCATAACTGACATTTGTATAACACACAGAGTATCATAATATCTTCTTACATATTATCTCAATAATTAGTACTTGACACATGATCCTGGGAGATTATTAAAAGAAAATGCCTTTTAGAACCAGAAAAACTTTGCTTTGAATCATAGACCTTCCTCTTAGAGCTATAATGCTTTAAAATGTTTCTTTATCCCATGAGCCCTCATGATCTAAGCAGAGGACACACACCCGTAGAAATTGCTACAATAAAAGTTTATTTTGCCACTTGAAAGCATAATTACTGGAAGGCATGGGAGCATGCACCTGAGGTAGGTAATTCTGCTACAAAAGTCTTCTTGGTAAAAATGAAATTTATGTGGAGGTGACAGAGGATTTGATAGAAGTAGCCAAAGGAAGAGGATGGGAAATGATTTTTCTCAGAAGCAAAAGCCTGTGTTTACATTATTTTCTCTTTTCTCCAGGATACCACTCATAGTTAATTACCGGCTTTTACCATCATCTGACAAATTTTCCTGCCTATCACCATTCAGTCTAGTACCTGGCCTGTCAGAATAATTGCACAGACTGATTTCTTGACTTCGTCTTTCTTCTATAAGTCAATCTTGGATGTCAGGCAGTTGGACATATCTCTGGAACCCATATTATTTCACCTAGTCCCATCTTCTTCCTCAGTCCCCACCCATTAGTAGGTTATCAGCAGCATCATGTGTCCTACCCCTAGAAATTTTAGAACCACTGCCAGTGTGAGCATAAGCCACTGGCTTATGAAAAAACACCTTTAGATGTTGTAAGATGAAACAAGGATGAACAGATGAAGAAAGAGAGCATGAAGCTTGGGCATTGTCAACCAGAAGTAGGGCAATGATGACAGGGAGCTATTCTCACTCCTAATGACCATTCATAAGGCTAAATGCTGACCACAAAGGTGGAATAGAGACTCAGAGGAATGGAGTTAGAGGAGTGAAGATGGTGGTGAGAGGGTGTGTGCTAACCATAAGAACCATAGTTACCCATCTCAGCTCTTCATAACTCAGTATCAGGAAGTTCTCCTTCCCTTTCATGGACATCCAGCCACAAGTGTGGTCAAACCAGGATCCATATGGTACTGATATCCGGGAGGCAGAAAGAGAGGGTAGATTACAAACTGTATGAAAGCAAGGATCCATCTGTTATGTTCCCTCTTGTGGGCAGAATTAATAGCACAATGTCTGGCACATTTAGGCCTGTCTAACTATTTGCTGAATGAATGAGAGTAAAGATGGAAAACGATTATCCAACATCATGCATTTACCCTGTAATGAGCCTTGTTCCTTTGGAGAAGGCTCTGTACCAGTTTTCAAGGGTTTTTAAGGAGATCCTCTCCAGAGAGCCATGTGGCCTGAGGGATGATATTCTTGCTGCCCTTAATTGGTTCAGTGTTTAGCATTTTTGGTTGGTAGGTCATTCCCACGGCCCTTGAGGATACTTTTCTGTCTTCTTGCCTTCATTGTTGCGATTGTAATTATTGTTCCTTTGGAAATTATCTGTCTTTGCTCTGGCTTAAGATTTTATTTCTTTTTTTCTGCTACAGCTTTCCTAGAGACTGGGTGAAGATTTATTTCTAATAATTCTTTCTGAGGCTTTGTGGTTCTTCAAACTGAGATTTCA